AGATATTACATTTTTAGTGGCAAAAGTGAATATTATGATCAGGTCATTTGTTTAATTATAAACGAGCTCTAACTGTTTTGCTCCTAAAAAATGACCATATGTAGTTTAGATGATGGATTCAAGATAAAAAATGATCGAAAACCTAGGTTGCGATTAAATTTTATTAACTTGATTTTATAAGGGACATAAATTTATTATTTTAAAAGTGAAAGATGAAAGAAAAAATCATTTGATGAGCATGAAAGACGTTTTGAACGAATTTTTTTTTATTAAAAAAGACTTAAATTTTAAAACCTTTATCGAGCATCCGCTCGCTGGTCAAATCGTATCTTATTATCGTCAAGATACGTGTTCCTCGCTCCTCATCCTCATGCATGGCAGACCTGGAGGAAGAAGAGGAGGACGACAGACAACTACGTCGTTTTGCTTTCGTAATTTTCTCCCTGAGGAGTTCCTGCACATGGGAATTTTTTTTTTTTATTCCACTATCCAAGATATTGAAATTTCCAAGGTGGTGGTGGCGGTGGTGGTGGAATTGGTCGTCACCCGTCAGAGAAGTTTACTTTTCTCGAGGAGAAATTGATTTAGTCGGTGGAGGGGCGGGCGGGCCGGGGGACTATAACCAGCTGCTTCCTTCTGGCGCCGCACCGCCCGATAATTCCAAAACGTTCACACATGAGCAATGTCAAGGTGCCTTCCATTTCCGCGTATTGTGTGACTAATTATAATTTATTTGCAGCCTGTTTAGGGCTGCAGCTGCGATGGAAACGTCCACTTTGGCACCGGGTTACAACATGCATTGGGCCATTGGCTTCAAGTTTATGATAATGATGATGCAGAAATTGATATTTGATAGTGATGATGATGGGAGCAATTCGCGCCATTAATTTGCTGTCCTTTTACCAATTTATTAGAGCCAAGTGCCAATCAGAGTTCCAAGTGTTTTCGAAGATGAACTCGTCTTGATCACATCAATTATAAAGTTGAAAGTTATTCCATCAAGAAGCTTGAACAATATAGGAGTGAAAAAGAATCGTTTGTAAACATTACATCACTTAATAGGAGGGCTCCAAAACTAAAAGCTAATTGATACTTGGCCGACAAGAGTTCGTTTGAGTTTGATTCGCAAACTAATGAAATCAAATTTGAATACTAGTGTTTTGTGTTTGATAAACTTTTAAATCCAGCTCGAGTTCGATTCGATAAGCATAAAAGTGAAATTTTACACGTAAAATATTCAAATTACTTGAACTCCACTTGAGTTCGGTTCGAAAAAAATAAATAAATCAAGTTTGAACATAATTTCAAACTCGTCAAAGTAATTAAACAAGTTTGAATACAAGGGTGTTTGATTTGTTTAAACTCATTTACAATCCTTACTTAATAGTATATAATTCACATGGGATCTAAAATGATTCCACTGCTTGTATTAGATAGGATGGATAAATATGGGATTAATTTTACTTCGCGTTCTTGAACTTTATATTCATTTTTAGATTGTGTCTTAAATTAAACATTTTGTATTAGTTACACTTTCGTCCAATAGTTGATTTTGTATTTTAAATTTCTTGAACAACATCACACTTTCTTCCATTAATAGTTTCTCTTTTCGCCCTTAACTCTCTCAATTTGACTGTCACTTGCATCCCAAATTTCAATGTGACACTGTCAAACTTTTTAACTTCGCATTTAAGTCCAATTATCAATGATGTTAAATAATTGACGGAATCACACGAGTCAAATCGTAATTCAGGGTGGACTTGGTTGGGGCTGTGCTGCCCCTATCCTTGAAATCGAAACAGGACAGTCACGGTTGCAGGTAGCAATAGTTCCTAAAGGTCATGATTTGATCCAAAAAAAAATGTAATGCTCAAATTATATTTTGTACATCAATTTTAATACTACGCGTGGATCTTATATAATTTTGTTCTATATTTTGAAGTCGGTGAAAGTGAGTTACATCTTGAATAAATGAAATTACATCTTGTGCATTTCGACAAAAATCGGCCCAAACTAACAACTGTCTGGTGGGGTCTTGGTCCCCTTGAAGTATACGGATCCCGAGTCTTTTTGGAAGATTTTTGAAGACGACTTGGTCAGGGCGGTTGGAAATTTCTTTCTTTGCTGAATGTTTTGTTAATGCCCAAACTCTCAATTCAAACTAAATTACCTTTATGTCAAAAGTTTTAAAGTCCCCCTGTCACATTTTCGCCAATTCCGACCTACCAAGACACCTTTTAGGATGTCTAAAAGAGAGGGATATTGCCTTCATGTAAAAAATCTTATCTACATGTCAAGAATAATTGACAAATAGAGGGATATTCCATTCATGTTCGCGCTCCAATTAATTTTTTTTTAAACCAATGATGATTCAATAAATTTTCACATATTGAGGGAATTGCAAGTAACCAAATCCAAAGTATGCAGTAATCACACAATCAAATCCAAAGAGTGCACTAAGGTGTCTAGTGAGGAGTTGAATGGAGTGTTAGCATTCAACTATTGTTACCTAGCTAGTTGGGCCCAAAACGATTTTCAACAGGTTGGTAGGGAAAAATTAAGAGATTTATCTTATTTTGCCAGAGAATTTTTTTTTTTTTTCCCACAAACTCTATTTTACAGTTTTACAACTATCAAAGGAACAAAACAATGAATATGTAAAAGTAGCGTCCTTGTAAAACGTTAGTCCAACTTCCGGTACCTTAATACTCACATGCCTCTAATCCAATTAATTTTGGGGTAAACAACAAAAAAGCCCCCTGTGGTTAAGCAATCATACATAAAAGCCCCCTGTGGTTTCATATCATACCAGTCGATACCCCGTGGTTTGAATTAACCTGAAAAGTGGACGGAAATCGGCAAAACAGACGGAGCTGAGTGAATAGACGAAAATACCCCTCCGATGGGCATGTGCAACTCAACGCAGTTTGCATGTAAAATTTTTATTTTTTTTTTAAGTAATTTGTTAAATAGCCTGAAACCCGCTTGCGGGTTTCCCCTTTATGTAAAATGACTAAAAGTTGCGTTTCTGTTCTATTTATATCAAACACATACTCTCAAACCCTCACCTGAAGGGTGAGGATGAGAGGGGAGGTTTGCTGGGCATCCTAGGGCCCTCCGATGGGCATGTGCAACTCAACGCAGCTTGCATGTAAAATTTTTTTTTTTTTTTTACGTAATTTGTTAAATAGCCTGAAACCCGCTTGCAGGTTTCCCCCTTTTTCTTTTTTTCTTTTTTTTTAAATAAATTCTATGCTAAAATGACTTAAAACAAAAATAAAAGACTAAAAGTAAATAAAAACTAGCATGAAAAATAAAAATAATAGTAAATAAAAATACACTAAAAATTTGGTGTCTACAGTAGTTACTGAATAATCTGGAAACAGATTGAATGATTCTGGAAACAGTGATGGAATCTATGTTCTGCATACACTTAGCTTATGTATTTACTATTTTTGTGGTGACTGAATGAAGTTCTTGGGTACCAGATTTGGTTCCCTGAAATGGCAACCAAATTTTGTAGTTACTGAATAATCTGGAAACAGATTTTGTAGTTACACTCTTTGTTCTGGAAATAGTTCTGAATCTATGTTCTTGGCAAGTTGAGATGAATGTTATGCAGAATGGCAACTGGCAACTAGATTCAATTTTGTCTTCTTTTGTTTGTCTTCTATATCACTTGCTGTCCAATCTTCTTTTGTTTGTCTTCTGTATCGGTTGTTGTCCAATTTTTAGCAGGTATATTTCTTACCCGTAGTGAAAACACCAGAACAAATCTGACCATTATTCGGTTGGGGTAGACACCAAACAAAACTCCACAACTAGTTGAGCTAAGACTACCTGCTGAAATGCAGCTAGTTGAGCTAAGACTACTAATGTGCAAACAAAACTCCAGCTAGCTTATTTCGTTCATTTTTTAGTGTTTTCAAAATGCAGATTACCAAAACAAAACTAAAAAATGTCGATTACCAATTTTGTTCAATTTCACTGCAACAAAACTCCATACATCACTAGCAGACTACCAACTAGCAATTTGATAGATGAAGAACTATATAATCAACAACAGCCTACCATTATCTTATCTGGTAGACATCAACAATAGTAAAATAGAAAAGATAGATACCATTACACAACCTCCAACTAGCAATTTCAAATTCTTCATTTCATTGTCCAAATTTTCCAGTTTCGAGAGCACGCCACCCAAATACGCATTTTCTTCAATAGGTTGGCTCACTACGGGAACAGGTGCATCTCGATTTGGTTCGTCTCTGTAAATTGGGTTACACCATGAAAAGAACCCACATTCATCTTTTTCACACACAAAATATAACAATCCTTTCGATGGCTTTTCCGACTCAACAATTTTTAGCTTTGCCTTCCTTCGACAATTACATACCTTGTACTGGTATCGAAGACCTCTGCCTCCATTTCCCCCGTTTGTTGGTCGAGAGCTTGAGGAAGACATCTTGGGGTACTTTCTCCACTTTTCCTTCAGAATTTGCAGACCGAATATATACAAATTTTTACCTTAAGGCTTTGTTTCCTGCAATTCCTTTGCTAGCCAGCAAGCTCTGCTTGATTGATTACTTGCACAGGCTTCGAATGCTGCCTTCAATTTTCAATTTTGGCCGAACATGAAGACTCAGAAGAAACGGAAGCTGGTCTCTTATTATTAAAGAGTGAAGGCTAAAATAGGCATATCAGGTAAAAGTTTGTGGTGGAAATCTGTTTTTCGCATATGAACGCGCCTTTGCAGTTCGTTTAAGACACACGCCGAATATTTGACGATTTCCGTCCACTTTTCAGGTTAATTCAAACCACAGGGTATCGACTGGTATGATATGAAACCACAGGGGGCTTTTTTGTTGTTTACCCTTAATTTTGTGTTTTACATCAAAGTGAAGCAAATAAAACACTTTAAGATACATCTGATGTCAGCATCAACTGTATTTAACACTTTTCAACTATTGCACCAGAGTGAGGAAAATTTAAAAAAAAAATTTAGGGTTAGATTGTCTAAAAATTGAAATTAATAGTACAATGTGGAAATCGCTATAAAGTATAAGGTGCAAAGTGAAATTAGCCCATAAATCTATTGCTATACTGCCACAAGTATGTAAAATTGTAGTTATCTCATGGCTTAGCCTATCTTTCCAAAGCTGTTAGTAAATAATCAACAAATGTGTTCTGGGTGCAAATTCACCTTCGTAGCTACATTTACAGGATCTACGAACTCTCTTTGGGTACTCGGAAACTTTTACAAGTCATCAGATGCAGTATCTACGTAAGAGATTTGCCAGCCCACTCTCTTTGACGTCGCTTTTGTCTGGCTTGCATCTTGTTGAACTTCTCTTTTCCTTTTTCCAGAAGAGGATCATGAACCACATAGTCATTTGGATCTTCGCTCCGAGACATATTATCCTGGGGTATTAAATATGAAGAAATATTACAAAGAAGCATTACAATGATTCAACTTTCTGAGGCAAAATCCCAGCTTAACAATCCAGTTCTCACATAGCTGTACAATGCATCTTTCCATTTCCAAAATTGTTAAGAGAGCTCCATGAAAGATAATTTCTGCTGGTGAGCCCTTTCTAAAGCGAAAAAATCCCACAAAACCCCACCTCGTTCAAGCAATCCAACTAGTTATCCACCTCCAATTCTACAAAGCCTGATACAAATGCGTCACGCTTTGGAATTTTTTCATGTTATCTATTTGTATACACTTTTTTGGGGCTGGAGCTAAAGAAAGGTAAAAATATTAAAAGTAAAGAAGCAAATGCATAATAATAAGCGCATTTGGAAGATCATGTGGTCCTAATGAAGATCACACTGCAGACTATATGAGATATTCAAGAGCTACAAGAGGGGTAGAGTCCTTGTTCATGATACTACACGGTCATTGCATCTGCATGCTACGCGACTTTACACGGTATTTCTCTGTTCAGCGGCCCCAGAATCTATGTATCCCTGTACCTTTATCCTTTCCTTTTGTTAATTTATTTCCTACCTTTTCCACTCTTTTTGGTTTCCTAAAACTTTCTCCTTTTTAAATATTTTATCGTAGTTGCTAAAAATGGGAAAATAGCGAAGTGTTCACTTTGTTTGCAAGGTGGCCAGACATACAAAACTAATCTTTTGATAACCATGCATTCCACAATAAATCGCCTGGGTTCCATAACAGCCAACCGACTATATTAAAATCACCACATAATCTGTAAGGAGATTAATTCTCTAAAGTCTGTTCTCAAAATTAAATGCCAAAGCAAATTTATAGAAACTCTAAATCACATAATTACTCACTCACATATGAGTTTGATTGATGGCCAGCTTCCCTTATTCTAATTTGACTGTTAAGGTTATTCAGCATTCATTTTCCTCACCCATCAAAATCAGTTGAATGTCATTGTGGAACTCAATTTGTATCTATTTAGCTTTAATGACTACATCCTCAGGGTAACTTGAATTTCAACATATGTGGCGTTGAAATTGACAGGCATGAAACAAAAAAGGTTTGCATCACATACAAAGTACTGGGGATCTTAAAGAGTCATTGTATTATGTATTTATGCTGGCTGTGGATGCTCAACAGCAGCAAAACTCAACAATGAGAATGCCAACTTCAATTTGATCTCAATCCACATTCAAGCTGACGGTACAAGGTACACAAAGAAGTGAAGATTACCTTGACAGGGTCAGGAGCAAACTTAAGCTGAACCCCCATCCATTCTGGTACATCATCCTTACCACCTGCATCTTCATCTTTCAATCCATTGGATTTGGAAGAAAATGCTGCCTTGAATTTTTCCAGTCTCTTCAGCACCTAAGAATCACAGAAATAAATGAAATCAGGAGTGTTAACCATCTATAGGAAGCTTGAATATAGATAATAGCACATCCATATCTTTACTTTTCATTCATTTTCTCCATCAAGTCATTGCAAAAATTTCCAGATCTAATACAGCTACAGCCATCCTTTCAGAGAACACAACCACATCATTTGAAACAAAAAAGTTTTGTGCTCTGACCTTGGTCAATGAATTTAACAGAGGATTATATGCCTTAGGAGAATATTATGTAAAAAGTGTTGAACCTCTGCTCTTATCAGAATACACAAGTATATCTAACAATAGAATTTCTCATATTTTACCTTGAGTTTCCCCAAGTTATGCATTAGGAACTGACATGCATATCCTCTTATGTTTTTCTTTCTTGTTTTGCTTCCCTTTTCTAATGCTGGTATTATTTGGTTTCGTTTACTAATGTTTTGTGTGCTTACTCTTTAAAACACATACTGCTTAACTCGGCCACTGCTCTAAGAACAACAGGTTCTCTCAATACACATCAATTATAAGTATAAGAAAAGAAGCTTTTATACAAGGTACAAACATAAAATGATCAATATGAATGTCAAATGCATACTTCATCCTCATGTCCTTGGCGTCTGCGCTTCTTTTGCTTCTGTAGCTGTCTTTCACGTTCAGCATTGTTCATCAACTGTAGGTCAGCATCTGCATTAGCCATGAGTTCAGCTCTAGCCTCTGAGCCCAGTCCCTTTTTCTTCAAGGACAATTTCTCCACCTTTGGTCGGTCATCATCACTTTCTACATGGGACCTGATAAGCAGACAATCTTTCAGCTCTCAAGAGTTCAATTGCTTAAAAAGGGAGAGGCAGATCGATTATAAGTATCAGCGAAGTCTCACATATTGGACTTGTACAATTGTAACATTTTCCCATCAAAATAAGGTCTCAATGATGCAAGCAAGACATAGTTTCAGCAGGTATATTAAACAGAGCAATCTGAAAGTACAGCATAACCTTAACAATATTTGGCAAGTGGTGCTATGGCTCATTAATGTCTTCAATCTATTAGGATCAAACAGCAGCACTCAAAAACATAAGCTGATAACCAGAAGTTACATTTAACAGTAGCAAAGTCTCCTTCAAGTATAAGCATCAGTCAGTGAATGTGAGTTTGCAACTGGCAACCTAATTCATATTGTAGGTTGATGACCAAGCAAGTTGCATGTGCAACATCAACAAGACCTAACCTATCAAAGCAAAAGAATACATCATACAAAGAAATTGTGTCTGAGTATGTAAATTAGACCCAAACTTGACGATGAAGAGTTTTACAATTAAGACATAATAAAACGCCTGTATTTGAACATAGTTTGCAACTCTAATAGACCTGGATGGACAGATTTGAAATAGCAAAACTTTGACATTCCACAATGAACAAGCAAACACTAAGCTAAAACGGGAAGAACAATTGCATTTTCATCTATGCTAGTGAGTTATGACATTTAACGGAAAAAAAGACTGGCAAATGTAAATTAAGACGTACCTTGGGGGAGACAATGTCCGGTTTCTTGGACTTGCACTACCATAACCTCCTAGAAAAGGCAGTACGATCAGAATTTTCAGCAACAATAAAACATGTGTAGATTATTCACACTAAACAGGAGCAGATTTTGCTAAGAGCCCCAAGAATAAACATGTTGCCATCTAGCTGCAAATTATCAATCTGAGCAGAAGTACTATCATAAAATATGTTCAAAACATCTCATCCAGCATGAGGTTTCATTTGAATCATTTTTGTGCATCTTATCCACCCTGTGGATCTGGCTAACGGTTGAAGTGTCACAATCAGTCTAGGAGTCATAAAAATACCAAAAAATTCTTGTTCTGTCAGACTGCTTTCACTGGGCAGTAGGAAGGATTACTGCTTGAGCCAATCCATAATCATATAAAACATGCTGAAGAATATCATAAAACAGCATACAAAAGCTTAGTTGCAGGCGCATAGTAATTTCTTGATGACATCAAAGCATTTCAGGAGAAAAATGATAAAGCACTTTCTATCAGGTCAAAAAATATTATATAGTTGTAAATCCGATTAAGTCCAAAGTAACAAATACTAAGCATTATGACACTAAATTTGGCTAGAACAGAAACAAGTTGACTATGTTAATTGGCATGGATAAAAAAGATTTGTAAGCTATAGGTTCATTTTAACTCTATGCAGAAAATAAACTTACCCTTATCCTTCTTTTGTTCAGTTGGAAGAACACCAAGCTCCTTTCTTTTCAGCAGTATCTGCTGATGCATCCTTGCATCAAAGTTAGCCTCATCTTCATCACTAAAATCAGAAGCTTCAGGCAACTTGGCATCTGATTGTCCCTGTGGTTCTTCCCTTTTTGAACGTAAAGCCTCTCTGACTGTCAACTGCTTATCCCTTGTAGCTTTAACGTCAGATGCTTTCTGCATTAGGAACTTCATTTAAGTGTATGTCCAAGCAATTTATTTATTACTGATCAGGGGAAAATAAATTATATTCGTTGTTCCCCCCAATAAGCGCATGTCATTCAACATTCATAAAGTTTGTCCCTCCAAAACTGACAGCATGTAGGTGAAGAAAAACTCATGTAAAATCTATAAAAAATACTAGGTAGATTCCTGGGAACACCAACAATGTCAGGACAAAATTCCTTAGATTTCACCTCAAGAAACGCTCTACAGAGTGCAAGGAAAAGTATAGACTCATTATCTCTGAGCATCCTGGTTGTGTTGTATCTCAATAGAGAATCAGAGACACCCTGCAACCCCTTCACTAATTCCTGTGCAAGAATGCGCTTCAAACTCAATGGAGCACAGGGACGCAATTCATTCATTGCTGCAGATACACCTGCAATGTCAATAGGGAGCATGCAAAAGAGAAAGGATTAAAGCAGTAATCCAGGGAGGTATAAACCAGTTAAATGTTCTTAGTGGTCACAGAAACCTTTGGGAAATACGTTCATACATTTTGGGTATCAGGATATGCAAAAATGTTTTTAAAATAAAAATCATGTTTATCTCAACAGTAAAACTTTTTTTTTTGCTGGACACGATAGATTCTAAGGTATACCTACTCATACTCTATACTGGGGGCGGGGGGACCTAAAGGGATCAAGAGGGGAACCCGGGGGGACTAACCACCACTGGTCCAGATGGGTGCACACGCACCTGTCGGCGAAATTATTCCAGGAAATCGTGGATTTAAAATGCAGGCCAAGAGATTTGATCGCTTGACCTACACCCAAGTAAAGCCTTAAGGCTCCCTTGGGGGCCAACTACTCTAGGAGTAGTTGGTTTATCTCAACAGTAACTTGGAGGCAAAGCATTTACCTTACGTCAGTACGAACAGAGAAAATAAATTAGGCATTGCATTTGTTGCTCTTCTTACTTTTTCAGAAGACAAGTACAGTTAATAGCATGCGTATAAGACATGAAAACACAACCAGCAGACATTACGCTCTACATACAAAACGAGACTAGATTTGACAAACCAAAAGTTGTGGAGGCATGTCGGACAAAGATATATATTTTTAAAGATTAACTGCTTAGTACCATTCACAAAAACAGCAAGAGGTGGATGCTCCATTAAATTTGGAGGAGGATTAACATCTTCCTGACTTTCTTCACCAAATGTACTGGAAGGAAAGCCAACAGCTGGTAGCGGGACCCAGCGATGAGCATCAAGTACTAGCTGGAAGAATATGGAAAATCGCAAATCAGATGGCAAAAATAATACATAGAATGTTGAGGAGGCACTTCAGTAAGAAGAGAAACTGAAACCCAATCTTTAGCTAAGAGAAGAAAACTTGCAACAACATCAAAACCAAAAAGCAAGGCTTCTAAACTACCTGAAAATTCTGAACTGCTGTATTCATATTCTTGGAGAATAAATTGAGAACTGCCCTGTTCAATTGACCAGAATAAAGGCAGTCACATTCACAGGTTGCTTCAATGTCTACATGATTTAAAAAAAATACAGAAGAAACGTTATATTACTCTTCAAAGAGTGGAGGAAGTAAGCCTCGAAAATCCAATCCAACCCAGCCCAATCCCATGGCACCATACTGCAAGACAGAAATAAATAGAACATCATCACCAAGCTAAATGCCACAAAGAGTTCAAAATGAAAATAATCTGAAGCAGGAAATCACCTTGCTTACATTTATAGGGCAAACCCATAGAAGAAGTGAAAACACAGTGAAAAAGAAATGGTGCCATGAGTCAGCATCCGCAAGTCATACCACATTTTTTACACTTCCATTTTAAATTGTAGCCAATTGCAAGTTAAAGCACATTTCATTTTTTTTTTACTATCTTTAACCATAGCAGTTAATAGCAATAATAAAACCACATACATTCCATCACTACATATTCCACTGATACGGTACAGAATGGCACTGTAAGAGCGAAGCCCTTATATTTGGTTAACTGCCTTTCTTCTTGAGCTATTAGGTTGCAAAAACTAAGAGAGGCATATAATACCTAAGATAACAAGAACCACAAGTAAAAAGGTCAACCTTTGATTATGGAAGTCCAATTATAGACATGCATAACTTTAGAGCAAGGAAGTTAACCCAATATGATGTCTTCTAAGAATACATCCTACAGACTGGAATCTCCTTTTAGATGAGAAGAGTCAAAGATCTAGAAACTAAAATCGAAACAATAAAGTGATCTTGAATTTTTATGGCATCAAACATGGTAGTCAGGGAAATGCTTCTTCAGACCACACAATCACAAAAGGAATCATGAAGGTTTAAAGACTTCTTCTAGGTTGTAGCATTGGTTCAATATCTATTTCTAAAAGTCACTAGGAAATACAATCATCATTTGATTTAGAAGTGCTCTGTTATTATGTTGGTATAAGTTATAAAAGATCAAATGCCAAAAGAAATCAAGTGATAAAAGTCACTGTTAAACCAGACCTTGGCATGCTCTTACTAGTTTGCAGTTTGCTACACGAACTGAACTTTTCAAACAATCTTAAGCAGTAAAGTACAATTAAACCATAAGAGAAGAAGAAAGTAGAACATAGCATTGTGGTTGGGATTTCAGAAAAATGCATGTGACATGCACTTGCAATTTTGAAACAGAAGGCAATGATGTTACTGACCATGCATTGTTCCAAAATGTTGGACAAAGATCCTCCTTCAGTTATCTTTGGTAGCATGATCTTAAGAGTTTTAAGGTGTAAGGATATTTGATGCATGGCCCAACTAAAGAGAAGTCCACCATCATAGTTTTCTTCACTTCCTGATGTATCATCAGCGAAGATGGCTCGGTATTGGTTAACAACATCAAAAAGATGTGTCCTATGACAGCTTATCATCCCTTTTAAATATTCATAAGCATTTCTCTGGTCTAAGTCATCAAGAATTCCAGCAAGCCATGTCTCACGACATCTGAGAAACTGTAACATCACAAAGACATGAGATCTTGATCAATCTAAGCTTAAGAAGAAGAAAATAGAACAGAATGTAGAGAAAGCATAAGGCTGATATGAAACTATGCTAGAACCTATATATTAAGCTTAACAAAGCTACCTGTAGGCGCATTTCATACTCGCTGAATACTCCTATTCGTCGTAAGTATCCAATGATACGGAGACACTCTGGTAACTGCAAGAGAAAATGAACAACTGATGAATTCTTAGCATCAATATTCTATCACAAATCACTTTGCATCACATGAACAGTATAACCTACAAGTTAGGCTTTGGCAAAGCACCTGAATGTTTGATCTAAGTTTTTGGAGGAGTTGAGAAAGAAGAGACTGTGTGGTCTGCCGAACTTCAGCAGCAAGTGCCTGAATAACTGGTAATCTATTTTCAAGGGGCAAAAAGAAAGAAACAACTGCCTCACAACAAGCCTCAATAAATTTGACAAATGAAATTGGTGGTTTAAACCATGAAGAAAGAAAGTAACTTACTTTGGATGCATTGTCGATAGCTTAGCAACATATGCTTCTAAATCCAGAGCTTCATCATAGTTGCCATTCCGTACACATCTAGAAATAATCAAAAGCTTCTTATAAATCTAGAATTAAGCTATAAAGAGTAAGAATAACAGCAAAATAAAACACACACTAAACAGGTATCATATGTAGGTACAAACAAACTCCCTTCACTACCCATATCCTAAAGAAAACAAATTAAAAAAAAAAACCCACACAGAGTACAAAAATTATAATCTACATAGGTAAGATTTATGACCAAAGCTGCTATTGTCAGCTCAAGTAATGATGATAAGTTACCAACATTTTACCTCTTTCTCATGTATAAGATAGAAGAAGTACTGGATACCTAAACTATTTCTGGAAGTTCTATCTCACAAATAACAAATGTAGTAAAGACAGTTTTATGCAGTGTCAAAGTTTCAACAGCAGGTGCTTAGTTCTCTTCAATCCTCAAGCATAGGTAGCAGCAATAAACAGTTTGGAGAAGGTACACAAGTTGTGCACATGGTAACATAAACATCATGAAGTTATACCAGTATTGCAAATAGAATTCATTCAACAACAGCTTCAAGTTCAGTGGTGGTACAATGGGACATTCATGACAGAAGAGAGTACCGTGACCAGAATTGAGTAAAGGATTTGTCTATCAAAACTAGAGGGAAGGTCCATGGAACCAAAGAATATTCAGAGGAAAGTCATGCTAATTTACTCCAGCAAGAAGAATGGTGATAGTCATCCAAAGAAAAGATCCAACTACCAGACAACCAGGATAATGCTACAGAAACAATAAACACTGAGAAATTGCATTAAGTGTATCCCACAGTATTCATATCATCATCTAAATTTCCCCATTCTGAGATCAAGATTAAAGACATGACAAACTTACTGGAAAAGCAAAGGCATAAAGGGTACAACTAGCTTTATCTATCCATCGTTCCGAACAGAGACCATTAATTGAATGTATTGCATTAGTTTAAAACATGGTCAGAGACATACGTGTCCATCAGCTGAGGAATTTCAAGCAAGTCAAGCAAAGTACTATGGTTTGCCAGAAGAGTTTGGTTCATCTTCCTCTTCTCCAATATTTGTTCTGCAGAGTCAACGAACTCAGAGCAACCAGACGATAACTTTGGGATTTCAGATATCTGCCAAACAAGAGAAACATATGAACTAATATAACTTCATCATCAACGCAACTCAGCAAGGAGAATGATCTCCAAATGCTGTCTACAACTGAGTTTTGGCATAACAACTAAAAAGCTTACATAATTGGAAAACACATTCAAAATTTGTCATTTTATTTCATTGGCCACAAAACCTACTTATGTAATTGCACACCCTGAAGTATGAAAGAGTTTATGTGGACATATTTCTGGATCAGAATTCATTCAAGGACAGACCCGAAGGAAAGATACTGATGTTTTTTAACACTATATACATAGCAGCTTTCATGAAATAATTATCCTCATTTTCATTTAAATTCCTATAACAATCTTATCAACTTACTACTCATGTATAATGTTGATGTCTAGTGGTGTCTAGTCACATTGACTCTTTCAATGTTCAAATGCTTAAGATAAATCACATATATTTTAAAATTTCCAAATGCTACATAAGCATGCAGCTCAGAATTATCTAGTTGTCGTTACATACAATGCATATTTTTGACTGCAAGTCCTACATAAGCACATGTACGACAAAATGAGTTCGCAACACAAATATCTTGAAATGAGAACCATGTCAGGGGAGAAAGAATATGATTTCAGGATGACTAAGAGTAACTAACGACAAGTGAACCACTGTAGTTCAAGTTTAGACCAACATCAATATAAGCTTGTCCCCAAAGCATATATAAAAGAAAAGGTAAAGAATATAATTAGTCATTCCTAAGCTTGATTAAGATGCCAAATTACAAGAAATTGACTTCATCATCTTAGCCGTATTCATCAGAGTTCCATGTCTTCCATGCCTAGGCTAAGAGGAAGGTGCATTTAAATGACTAAGTTTTTAAAGAAAGGCACTTTAAAGAGGCTTGTATCTTGTGCAACTAAGAGCAAGTTATGAACTTTCTCTTCTTCCTAGTTTTGTTTAAATACTTTTTAGTAGATTTTGTAACGTAGAATCAACTTTAACCACTGGAGACTGGAAACAGACATATCTGGGGCAGTACACTTGTGCTAATTAAGTTATTGTCAACTAACTATCGGTCAGTCAGTTTCCAACTTTCTTTTAGCTTTCCAATCTCTACATCACATCTCATTAGCTCAAGAAGACAAAAGAAACCCATAAACTGTTGCCTAGAAATGGAGATGTTGGATGTACATTATTCTTTGGAGGTAATCAAGAAATAGGACTAAAGTGCAATAAACTAAACCAGGACCACGAAAACCATTGGCCTAATTCTTAAACTGTTGAATTTTCAAATTTAACATCTGTAGTCTTCTGCTATTTACAATGCTGAGAAGTAACATCCTAGAAATTAAACATTAGTTTTCCAACCTGATTTTAGTTTGATTGATATTCAAATATTTCGTGAAAGTAACAGTATTGCCCTCTTCCTAATTTCGCTATTCTACTTTTCTTCTTAGGCGTCTTCCAATAAAGACGTACAAATTCTTTCTGGATGCTGATTCTTACCGTAGGTCAAGTGTGTCCACTGAAGCACATTTGAGTGGTATATGCAACTTGATCGAATGAACCCCATATTTAAGCTATTACCTTCAAAAACCGACCCTGCACATTCTGCATTACTACCATACCATCATCAACCACCAGGAGTTACTCAGACCCCATCACATTTCATCTGCAGGTTGAGACTCTAACACGTACCAAATTGAAAGATCACATTTTTTTTTAACTTACCACTAAACAATCTAATCTTTAGCCATAGACATAAAAAAAACCAGCAAAGAAAAATCAATCGCACAAAATTACTCCAAATTGCACAAGAAAATTACAAAATTTAAACATAAAAAAGAAAAGTAAATTTACCAAAGACTCGAGGTGTTTATCGATCGAGGAAACTTCCTCTTTAATAGAAAGCAAGGCATCAGCAGAAGAAATGAAAGCACGGTAGTTCCCCACCGCCACCTCTTGCATCTGCCTCCGTATCCTCTCCGCATCTACTCTCAATAGCTCCGGCTCCTACAAATTATAAGAAGAAAATTATGATCACATTGCAATTTCTAGTACAAAAGATTGAATTAATCACGGAGTTAGCTCTAGGTACCTTGTGGAGGCGGTCGAGGGTGAAAGAGAGGAGTTCAGAGACGTAAGGCTGCTGCGAGGCGGAGGCCAGCGGGAGAAGACTAGCGACCGGTGATGAGTTGTCGTCTGATTGAACTTCAGACGACGTCATTGTCGAAATTAATTAAGAGAACTCCTAAATTGGATTCAATTTGAGCTTGATTAGGGTTTCGATCTGATTTTTTTTTTTTCAGGTGGGAACAAACAACTACCGTTGGTGAACACTCAGAGATCTGCTACTGTGTGGCTGTGTGTAACGACGCACCACCGTTGGTGACCGGTAAAGAAACGTTAACAGCTTTGGGCTTATTTATTTTTTGAGAGAATTGCCGAGATAGCCCCTTATTTTTTTTTCTTGATATTATGAAAATGTATCACTTAGTTTTAGCAATTAACTAAATAGGCAGCAGCTAAGTAAAATACTAACCACTAGAAATTTGTAAAATGTTTAGAAATATTAATCACTAGCAGGAAATTTAAGCTATCAATGCAAAACAATCATTGACCATGTTGTAACTTGTATATATATATATATATATATAGCTAAATCATAAAAACGTGTTGAGATTATAGATAGCAAATTATTTATCACAAAATATCTTTTCACGAGGGTTTTGCAAGGAAAAGTTTAGTTTTAAAAAAATATTTACTTTTGTTTTTGGAATAATATTTGCATGAGTAGTTTTCAAATTCTTATCTTGAGATTTAAGTTTTAGAATATATTTCTGTTCTTAATTTATTTCTAAGTTTATGAAAAATATGTTGAACTCTCTACCTTTGGTGTTTAAGGGTGCATTTAATAAAATTGAAATTTGAAAACTGAAATATGAATTTTGAATCTATTAAATTATTGAATTGTTAAGTACTAAATCTGATGTATTTAAGTGTATATAATATTAAATGATAAGTAAATAACATATTACTTATTTTAAATCAAGTTTTGTCTGGATTCTCTAAAAAATTCAGTGTCACTTAATTAATTTAGATATTCTAATTTTTATTATTAAACATGTCTAAACATGTTAAGATTTGAATATATTAAATTTAAATATTGAATTCAATTATCAAACAGGACCAAATTGTTTTTAGAATACAAAAGCTAAACTTGAACTTGTGGTAAAAGTATTTTAGAGGTTCTGATTGCAAAGAGATCAAAAGAACAGGGGCAATCTGGCTATAATAAAGCACAGCTATTGCAAAGAGGTCCTAACTTGCTAGAAACAATGCCCCCACCATGAAAGCGCGTGGGATATTACCGAATAAACAACAGCGCTTTCAAGGCGGACTTGTTTTCATTTCATAAAAGGTGTTGCTTTAAATTAGCACGCCTTCGTCTACCGCTCTATTTCCCCGACATGCACAAGCAGTGTTTTAGAGGTTAGAAAACCCCTTCTTTCCATCACTCTTTCAAAAATTACCTAGAGAAGAAGGGAGAATCTGCAGAATACCCCCGAGGAGCCTACGGAATTAAGCCAGTAAGTTTTATCAATCTCTCGAAATTCTCTCCGGAAAATTTCCAAAATTTTCCATTTGGGCGATCTTTAAACTAGGCAAATGCTATTGGATTTGGGAGACAAGCTGACATGGTATTACATGAACAGTAGGCTGTCAAACTGGTAATCAGATAGTGTCCCAATCCGACCAGTTTTGGCAGCACCCTTTATTAAGTGAACTCATTTACACCTATTCAATTTTCTTGTTTTTTGAATAAGATTCACAATCCGTCATGGTGGCTAACCATTATTCTTGGGTTTTATGTCTGTTCTTTTAGAGGAGGGTGAAAATGGAGTCCTGCCAACCAGCTACGACACAGGTGCCACAACAGGCGCAGCCACAGATTCAAATATACGGTAGCTCAAATGGTGAAATTTCCCCATTCTGGAGAGGTTGGTTGGTTTACCTGCTTCTGTCTCAGTATCTTTTGATGGCTCTATCATACTGTTTTCCATAAAATTGGTTAACTTTTTTGTTTCCAATGATTTAATCCGTGCAGAGAAGTATGAAAGAGATGCAAAGAAGTACTGGGATATATTCTACAAACGCCATCAAGATAAAGTCAGTTTCCTACCTGCTCTTTCTTAACCTGCTCATTCTCTTTTGGCTTTTTCTTACTGCTAACTATTTATTACTTGATAATATCACTTCGGTGCATGCTATGGACAAGCTTTATCGTTTTTCTTCACCCTGTCGTGACTTTTTGTTTTACTGCCACTGATACTTAATTTCTTCCTTGAGAAGTAGTAGTTTACAACTGCTTTTATGAGATTTCTGTCATGCCATGTTCTTTCTTTTTTATTTCCTTGTAACTTATTTTTGTGCCTCAGTTCTTTAAGGACCGGCATTACTTGGACAAGGAATGGGGACATTACTTTTCTGTGAGTACATCTTCCTTTTTTGGCTTCATTTCAACGTGTAAAAGTAGTTTGTACTATTTTTTGCTTGCCTATTTGACAAATATAACAAAATTCGCTCAATTTCTTCAGGGTGCTGGAAGAAAAGTCATTCTGGAGGTAATCTCAGTCCCTATTCTGAAGAAAAACTTAGTAGTTCGGCATCTTCATGCTAGTCCATTCCATGGTTTTCCTCAATCTCCTTGTAGCAGTGAAAATAATTGAACTTTTCCTCAATCTAATCTATTCTATGCTAGTGTATTTGAATTGCTCACTGTTGACTATGCTTACTCTTTCATGTATTTGAATTCTTGGATTTTTCTACTGAAATTTTACACATATTTCTCATTTTGGTCATGTGCTGCTGCCAAAAAAAATTGTTGGAATATTTTCCTTGTTCTTACAGGGATAAAAAATTATGCTAGAAAGAGGAAAGATTTTGACACACATCTGCACTGAATCATATTGATACCTTCTGAATGGATGCCAATGTAATGATACTGAAATGTGAAATTGCTGCTAGTTATGGACACTAGGAATGTGTTGATGGTTAGTTTATATGCCTATCTTATACTCTTCGTGAATTTTCTTGTGCAAGATAAAGGATTGGTTCTCCAATCCTTCTGCATTTGAAAACTAAGAAGTTTGAAAATTTTTTTTCCTTTGCCCGAAAATTTTCTGCCGCGAAAGTTTTATCCTAGTACATGTAGCATGAAAACTTGTAGTGAAGCCATTTTATACCCTGAAAAAGAATGCAATTGAAAATCGTTAATTGTCTTCCTTTTTGCTTTGTTCTTGAAAGGAAACATGATTCAATGATTCTAGAGAGATTTTTTTCAAACAGACATGGCATTTGCTCTGTGCCACTTGACAAAATTTCTGCTTTTGATACATTCGTGATGTGTGAAAGCTAGACTCTGATTATCCTCTCTGCACTTCCTTAATTATTTGCCATCTATTGTATTCACAAAGATATTCACATCATGTATTCAAGAATCTTTTTTTAATTTGTGGAGAATTGTAATGATAATGACTTTCTCTTTACACAAGGTTGGCTGTGGGGTGGGGAACACTATCTTTCCTTTGGTTGCAAGATATCCAGATATATTTATCCATGCCTGTGATTTTTCACCACGTGCTGTGAACTTGGTCAAGGTCAGTCTTGCTGTTTTTATCTGCAATGTATGAAATATAATTGTATTTTTGTTGTCTATTGGGTTTTGTCTGTCTTACAGGGTCTGGATCTGACTGATTTAGTGGGTTTTGCATTGGGCTCCCCTGCATATCGGGATGTTAATCTTGAAAACTTGAATAAGCAATGAATAATGCCATCTATTAAAGTTTTGCATGCTTTTTCAGTTGATTTCATGATAATACTAAGAAGTAGTAGTAAAAGTGGTATAAACATTTTGTTGTCTGTTAAAACACTATCAGTGGAAAAAATTGTCAGCTTCTTTACAGGCTAAAGATGGCATTGTTTGATAGTGTTGGCTTAGAATCCTCTAATGCTTCAAACTTTAATAAGTTCATCATAACTCGATGAAAAATCAGCTAATGATCATTTTAGGCATTTTGAATGTAAGGGGTTAGTGTACATATGGAATTTTCATAACTTATTTGGTAGACTTCCTCCAACTTGGTCCATTTTGCTAAAATACTAAGGCGCTTTAGTACTGACCCACTATTTGCTTCCCTGGGAGTAGAAGAACTATATACCTGGGCTAAACAAGGAAAAAAGAAAAAAGCAAACACAAATGGAAATGAGATGAATGCTAAGGTTGTTGCATCAAGTAATACTTCAGAATAAGTTTAAGGATACTCTGTTTGTGGAAAGAAAAAAATATCCTGCTCGGAAATGTTTCTGAATGACAAAGGGGTCCCATTCCAATAATAACAAGTAACAAACATAAAGTCAAAGTGATGGAGAAAGGTGAACCATCTATTCGATTAGCTCCAATACCCAATGCAGTTAGCTATTTATGCTTTTCTTCTCGATCAATGTCCATCTTGTGAAAGCTCTAGTCGAGGAAGTATAATTTTACAGAAAAAATTTGTCACTCTGTGCTTGGGGAGAGTTGATTTAAAGATAACCCTTTTGAAGACAACTCACACTAGCAAATGTTCTGTATGAACCATGTTTAGAAAGAATATATTTAGAACATTAGCTGGGGACCAACAGAGCTATAGAGTTGGGATGTAGTCCAATAAAACTGCAGTTACTAAGAATGTTAATTTGATGGAAAGGGTTAGTGTTTGTGATTAGTATTGCTCCAGGGTTCAACATTGAATCGAGTGCCAATATGTGGCTTTAAGGTAGGATTTTAACATTGAAGTAGACCAGGGCAGGTATGTGTTGTATAGGTCAGCATTGCTGTGTTCTGTAGGTCACAAATAGGTAATTCTTACCTGTACCTCTGCAATGCAGTGTGTACTTTTCCGCTAGACAGGTTTCCACAAATAGGGGTCCCATTGCAAAAACTTAGGCACTCCATGTTTTCTGGACACTTGTCTGGTGGATATTTCCACTTCGCAATGCCAAGTCTGCAGGTGTCACATATACCCTTTAAATTTGTAGTATCACATATACCCATTTAAATTTGTAGTTCCCCAAGATCTACACCCATCACATGGTATAATGTTGCTTAATTGTTGAAGATTCCAAATCTTATGGGTTTGTTTAAAAGTTTCAAAAACGTATATTACTCCACACTATTGTCAAGTTTATTGAATACTAGACTAAACCATTTAAGCACATTCTTTAACCTATGTTATCCAAAACAAAGTCAATCAATCGTATTTTATATCTAAGCCAATTTTTATCCCATTTTCCTGGGAACAAATTACTTTATCTGTGGAACCCTTTTTTCACGTATTGTTTGTATATTTCTGTTGCATCTCTACTATGATTAGTAGTGTCTGTGAAGGCTAAATGCATTAAAGAAAACTTCTCTTCTTCTTTCCTTCATTTGTTCAATCATACTCGATATTAGTCAAAACATAGTGATAGGTCTTTGTGGTCAAGTACGGATCAAGATAAATCCCACAAATTCAGCTTTGCTGCCTCAATATACATGTTCAGAGAAAAACTTCTGTAAATGATCCAATCTTGCTAACTATAATAAAGCATATGCATGAAAAAAATGAATATAAGAGAAGAGCAGTATTCTTGGTAATATATTTGCATCTCTACCAGTATTTCTGGAGGAGTACTGGTATGGATGCATCTAAAACCCACAATAGAGTAATTAGTTCTGGTGAAAATAGATTAGAATTAGCTTACTTTATGATAAAACAGTTTGATCAACTGATTGAGAATTACTTAGTTGACGAATATAATATAAGGATGCGCTATTCTGGTGTGAGCTCTACAAAAATTTGGCCCCATCAACTTTGGACACGTCAGCTTGGATGATGCCACATGCAGATCAGATGGGGCTTCATTTCCCATCTGAATGAAGATCATCTGGGGCTGCGCGTCCCATTGGAGCTGATATGCAAAAATTTGGATCAACCAAATTTTAGCACAATCCAGGGTCCAAATTTTGCCACCTTCAGTTCAAAGAAATGTGCTTGACTCTCCTAGCCTTGTATTCCACAAAATTCTAATATGAAATTCAGTTAAATGAAAGAAGTTTATAAGCTTCATTTGAAACATATATTTGCAGCTATTCTCCAACTGGAAGTTGATCTCCATTAATTTTGTAAAATTTGTGTGCACTTGTCTAGACTGTCCAAGTTAGCACTTGTACTTCATATTTGTACAGTTGGGTCTTGAGGCTTGTTAGAATTGGAGATCCCTGATCTCTATTTTGCACAAGAACATGGACGTCTGGTATTATTGCACATTTAATGTTACCACTTACCTGAAGCACCTTTAAAAAATAGCATAACAACTTTTTCATATAGGGGCATGGTGTCCATTCGGCACTATAATCTGTGTGTGCATAAGGAATTACTTTTAATGAATCTTAGCCTTCTAAAAATGGATTAATAGTCAGCCCATGATCTCGATCAATCTTGACTTGCACCTTATGCATTTTTAGGGTGATTAATATCTGGTATCTTATTTAACCACCAATAAACCAATTGTAATTTGCTGTCATACGATAATGCAGAAGCATAAGGAGTTCAATGAGGGCCAAATAAATGCTTTTGTGTGTGACCTAACTGTTGATGACCTGAGTGAACAGATTCCTCCATCTTCAGTTGATGCTGTTACCATGGTACCGGAATGGTGTTCTATTTTGAAATTTCTTAGTATTTAATATCGTACATAACTAATCTAGTTCATTTCTTGGATTTCATTTATGATATTCTTGATAAGCTAGCCTATTTGTTCTTCAATGAGCTACCTGACATTTTAAACAGATATTTGTATTATCTGCAGTCTCCCCGGAAAAGATGTCCATAGTATTACAAAATATCAGAAAAGTTCTCAAGGTGGGAAAGTATTACTTCCTATTTGACATAAAATTGTGGTCACATAAGTACGATTTCTTTGAAGTGACTCTATGGCTTGTATTTCTTGTCAGCCAAGTGGTTGCGTGTTGTTTCGTGACTATGCAACGGGTGACCTTGCTCAGGTTTGTTTCTGCTTTATGCAGGTTACAGTACTCATATTTTTCATATTTGAATGTTTTTCTTCATTTTAAGTGCCCAAAAATTCTGTTTAGATCAGTTATGTCTTTATCTAGATGCTGGTAAACATGGTCTCGTTTTTTGTTGAAACTTTTTATGTTTGTCTCCATATGAAAGAGTTTCTATATTCACTCCAATTTTGAGTTCCCAAAATTTGACTTCTTTGATGAGTGGATTGATGGATATCCACTATGAACAAGAAATCTTTTACTCCGATCCGAGGAAAGGAGATGTTTGGAACTTCTTACCTAGTTTTTTGGGTGACATTATTTTATTTTTTCTGTCTCTTCTAGTGTGTGTCTGTTGGTTTATTGAAAAATTATGGCCCCTGAATATTTTAATCCAAACCAGCCTCTCTAGTCTATCCCTTCTTAAGCCGGATCTAGCGAATTGAGTTCGACTTTTCTATGATTGTTCTGGTGCTGCTCCAGACTTCTCATCGGACTTTCTCATTGCATGAACAGGAAAGATTCTCTTGCAAAGAACAGAAGATCAGTGAGAACTTCTATGCTAGGGGTGATGGCACTGTAAGTTTAGCTGATATGAATTATGTGCCTTTGCCTTTACTGCAGAAATTCTATTTATCAAGCTTCTCTGTGTCCACTTTTTCCCAGAGGGCTTTCTACTTCTCTGACGAGTATCTGACAAAATTATTCAGCGAAAATGGATTTCATACTGAAGAACATCTATTATGCTGCAAACAAGTAGAAAACCGATCAAGAGATATAGTAATGAACCGGTAAATGATTTTACCTTTTGATTGAAGTAGATCAAATCTGTATTTCTCAGTCGGCAATGCAAAGTTGTCACTCTAGTGTTTGAGTGATCTCAAAATTTGGAATGAGCATTGTGTGACTATCGATACAGGTTGTATGAACTTTTATCTGAACAAAGTAAGATAAGAGGTTTACATATTATTTTCAAAGTGATGTGCGAGTAGCCTGTAACTCTCCATATACATCAGGCATATCTCCTTTGCAATATTACAGAACTGGTAATTCACAGTAGTATGCTATCACTCTCAGTTAGCTGTTTTTTTAGCTCTCCTTGACACTTGCCACAAAATGGCTGTTCATGTTTTCAGTAATTATTGTTCTGGTTCATCATAGAGATACTGTTCAAAACTAGTCCTCTGCAAATTGCAAACCCAGCATTTGAGAGGAAAGAAGACCGAACTAAGGAGATATTGCTTTCGACGATTAAATTTGACCTTTATATCCAGATTGTTAAATGTCTTTGGGTCCTGCTTAGGGATGCCTTTCCGGGAGAGGGAGTGTTGTGTGTAAGCATAGCATTTCTCGGGAACCTTTCCTTAGGAAAAAATTTAAGCCAACAATGTTGCTGTTGTTGAATTAAATTATTTGTAGCATTTGGTGTAATTTGACAATGTAGGGGTCCTTTTGACAATAATGCTGTAATACTTCGAATGTTCACTGTTTAGAAAGTTTGCTCATCTATGGTTCTGCGAACTGTCTTTGGCCCCTTTCTTCTGTTGGTGCTCATTCAAGGATGTAGCACGCTGGCATACACAGCTAAATTGTTGCAATTTTGATCGCAGGCGTTGGGTCCAAGCTGTATTTCGCATGAATGGGGATGATGATGACAATTTAAGCTGTGTTGAAACAGAGCAGGTAAAACCTCAGGTCAAAGATCTTATCCCGAAAATTGCTACAAATGGACTGGAAGTTGACATCTCTGATGGATTGGCTTGTGAAATGTTTGGCATAGAATCTTCTAGCGAAGAGGTAAAAATTTTTTTCTGAGGTTTATTCTGGCTTTCCCTTTGCTACTAGTGCACCAAGTTTTATGAACTTGGGACATTTGAATTTCACATGCCTGTAGTATGTTGCTCCAGTTATCAGATGTGTCAATTTGAAATGTAACAGATTATTGAGGTCATTATAAGAGATCACATGTTCAAGATAAAAGTGCTTTCCAGGGAGCACCAACATACCTGCAAATCAACTGGGCTGATGCTATGGGAATCAGCTAGGCTCATGGCTTCTGTCCTTGCTGCAAATGCAACAATTGTTGCAGGAAAAAGGGTCTTAGAACTTGGGTGTGGCTGTGGGGGAATCTGCTCAATGCTGGCCACTGGATCTGCTGATCTCGTGGTTGCCACTGATGGAGATGCAAAAGCACTCGAATTGTTGACTCAAAATGTTGCTTCAAATCTCAAAGCATCGTCTTCTGGCAGGTTAATAACGAAAAGACTGGAGTGGGGAAATGAAGATGATATAGAAAGCGTCAAGGAGCTGAATGGCAAGGGATTTGATGTTATCATAGGCACTGATGTTACCTATGTCCGTGAAGCTATATCACCCTTGTTTCAAACAGCGAAGGAGTTGATTGCAGCCAGCCAGGAGAACGAAGAGGATAGAAGGCCTGCTTTAATTCTGTGTCATCTTCCTCGCAGAGTTGATGAACCATGTATTCTTGCAGCAGCTTCTGAGTATGGTTTCAAGCTAGTTGATAGGTTGCCTAAGCAAAACGCAAGAAGCTCACCTCAGAGCATTATTAGCTCTTGGTTCCACGAAGACGGATATGAAGACTATTTTCCCACTAAAGCTCTCAGTATTATGTACTTCACGACATAATGGACATCAGAAAATTGCCCAATAGAGATTTGGAGGAAGGAGTGTTTCCATGGATGATGGTAGTTTTGTTCATGTTACGACTATGCCCTTGATAGGAAAAGAATATCAAAATTTTCAGAATATTAACCATCTTGTGGAAATCCGTCCTCTTGCCGTGGTAGGCATTGCTAATGTGGTTAAAATTATAAGAATCTGAATATATTGTGGTGACATTTTCAAAGTAGGATACATTACAGGACTACAAGTAAAATGGTGAAGTCACTAAGGAGAGTAGCTGATAGAGAAAATGGCAACTTTTTGTTGTCACTTCCTGCGGCCAAGAATGTATATGCCCTGATAACGAACAAAGCTTCTCAGTACCAAGTGGATGGAACATAAACCTCCCCAAAATGAAAACTAGCAAGAATCGAATTGAGTCTTCAATGGCAGGAATTTACTCTTCCTGTTTCCTAAAGAAAAAGGAGGAGGTCAATATCATGGCTCCTTTAAAAGTTTATAAGTCCCCTGGACGCCTGCAAAAGTTGCCGGCTTTTGAAGGTTGTTCGGGGATTTCGATTTATATGCTAAAAGTCTGAGTTCTCTCAGAAATTGACAAAAAGACAGAACTCTCCGTTACGGGGTACTTGGAGGGTCTTTACTTTCTAGCAGCAGGGTCCTTGTGGAGGTTCTATCCCACATCGACTATGGGGGTGTTTGGGAGGTTAGTTTATAAGTCCCCTGGACGCCTTCTAAAGTTGCCGACTTTTGAAGGTTGTTCGGGGATTTTGATTTATATGCTAAAAGTCTAAGTTCTCTCAGAAATTGACAAAAAAAAAAAATATCATGGCTCCTGCTGTGATTGTTTTTTCTGCTGTGATGGTTGCTTAGTATATCCTCGAATGAGATGTTTTTTCTTCTTGGATTTTGGTGTTACTAAGTGGTAATGGGAGGAATCTCACGTCTGAATTTCGATCACTTTTGACTGGTAAATTATGCCCCATTAATTGGAAGTTAGAACGATGAATTTACTTTAGGTTAGTACTTAGCATTACTAAGGGCTTGTTTATAACTCTATTTAATGCTGAAAATTAATTCATTGAGAACTTTTTGAATTCAGGATGTTTGGTAACAGAAATATTTTACTACTTAATATGTAATGTATTAAGTACTGCTTAATTAGTGTATAAACTTTTAAGTGAGAATTTTTCACTGAATTTTTTGAGTTGACTACACATAATATAACTCTCACACATACTCTCTCACAAAATACATACATGTTCTCTTTGTGTGAATACTCTCTCACAAAATACATATATGTTCTCTTTCTGTTCACACATATATGCATTACTTATACTAATTCCTCCCACCTTATCTTTCAACCCAATCCTCCTCCCACATATATACAAATATACATACTTAAACACTACATCTAAAGTGTTTCATTATTTTCTCTCCTCTCTTAAACATGCACATATGCACTTTTCTTTCTTTCTAAATACACAAATAAAGGCAATTTTTTAAAAGATAAAAGCATAATATTTCTGCGATATTTCAATTCAGCAATATGATTCAGTTAGTTATCAAACAGATATAACTTAACCAATTTAGCAACTTAATACTTTCAGCACTTAATTTTCATATTTCAACATTCAGATTTCAGACTTCAGTCTTATCAATATGCCCTAAATCTCGTGCATAGATTTTGAAAACCAAAAAATCTAATTGGCAAAAGAAAGTGAGGCAAGGCAAAATTTCTAAACTTGTTACTCACTCTCGAAAGGAAATAAATGATTGAATCCTTCAAACATATTTCGAGTAATTCTGTGTGTAAATTATGATTTTTGCACTAGTAGTTTTATGTCTATAGTAAGCTAAGAAACAGAATTCTGAAAATCAACTGTTAGTGTTGCAAAATTTTGCACTTTGGAAACAAAAACCTTTCTGTCAACAAAGGGCTTATCTTTAAGAACTTGAATCAAACTCTGCTTAAATCAAAACCACTTTAACTGAGAGAATCTCTCTACTTGAGAGGATTGATAAACTCACGCCTGAGCTTAAATTCTCGTAGCATTAAATTTGTGGGACTCTACTTCAAGGTTGCATTTTTTGTAAGGGAAAATCGTTCAAAACGTATCTCATATTTTGTAAAATGACTTTTTTCGTCCCTCACTTTTAAAAGTGTAATTTTATGTCCCTTACATATTCACATCGGCCAAATTTAGTCCTTAACTAGGTTTTCAATCATTTTTTGGCCGGAATCCATCACGTGCAAGGCACGTGATCATTTTTTAAGGGTAAATTTGTTAAATTATATTTTACATAATCTGATCTATAGTCCTCCACATTTTATAAAATGATTTTTTCATCCCTCACATTTCACAAAAAGAATTTCTCCATCCCTCACATTTCAAAAAATGAATATTTCCATCCCTCACTAATTATATATGTGAAGGAAACCCTAAAAAAAGAAAGTGTATGAATACATTTTGTTTAAACATATGTATATGTCTATTTGATTTTGCTTAATAATACGAATAGCATAAATATATGTACGTGTCTATTTGATTTCACTTAACAATACGAATACCATAGGGAAAATCGTCCAAAACGTCCCTCAAATTTTGTAAAATAACTTTTTTCGTCCCTCACTTTTAAAAGTGTAATTTTATATCCCTTACATATTCACATCGGACAAATTTAGTCCCTAACTAGGTTTCCGATCATTTTTTGGCTGGAATCCATCATGTGCAAGGCACGTGATCATTTTTGAAGGGTAAATTTGTCAAATTATATTTTTTATGATCTGATCTATAGTCCTCCACATTTTATAAAATAAATTTTTTCGTCCCTCATATTTTATAAAATGATTTTTTTCATCCCTCATATTTCACAAAATGAATTTCTCCATCCCTTATATTTCAAAAAATGAATTTTTTATTTCTCACTAATTATGTGTGTGAATACATTTTTTTAAACACATGTATATGTCTATTTGATTTTGCTTAATAATAATAGCATAAACACATGTATGTAATTGGGTCCAAATTGTCGGCTATCTTCTATTTTTGTATGATTATGACTAATATTTACCAATAGAACCTTAATTTGCATATTCTTATTGTATTTTGACCGAAAATAGCTTTATTGGCCAACTTGACAATAAATGCAAGATTATTTACTAGCTTATACCAGATGAAATCAAATGATCACGTATAATATATAGTATTCGTATTATTAAGTGAAATCAAATAGACATATACATATATTTATGCTATTCGTATTATTAAGCAAAATCAAATAGATATATACATGTATTTAAAAAAATGTATTCATACAAATTTTTTTTAGGGTTTCCCTCACATACATAATTAGTGAGAGATGGAAATATTCATTTTTTGAAATGTGAGGGATGAAGAAATTCTTTTTGTGAAATGTGAGGAATGAAAAAAATCATTTTATAAAATATGAGGGACGAAAAAATTTGTTTTATAAAATGTGGAGGACTATAGATCAGATTATGTAAAATATAATTTTACAAATTTACCCTTCAAAAATGATCACGTGCCTTGCACGTGATGGATTCCGGCCAAAAAATGATCGGAAACCTAGTTAGGGACTAAATTTGACCGATGTGAATATGTAAGAGACATAAAATTACACTTTTAAAAGTGAGGAACGAAAAAAGTCATTTTACAAAATGTGAGGGATGTTTTGGACGATTTTCCCAATACCATATATTATACGTGATCATTTGATTTCGTCTGGTATTAGCTAATAAATAATCTTGCATTCATTGTCAAGTTGGCCAATAAAGCTATTTTCGGTCAAAATACAATAAAAATATGCAAATTAAGGTTCTATTGGTAAATATTAGTCATAATCATACAAAAAGAGAAGATAGCCCACAAGTTGGGCCCAATTACATACATGTGTTTATGCTATTATTATTAAGCAAAATCAAATAGACATATACATGTGTTAAAAAAAATGTATTTACACACATAATTAGTGAGAAATAAAAAATTCATTTTTTGAAATATGAGGGATGGAGAAATTCATTTTGTAAAATGTGAGGGATGAAAAAAATCATTTTATAAAATGTGAGGGAGGAAAAAATTTATTTTATAAAATGTGGAGGACTGTGGAGGACTATAGATCAGATTATGTAAAATATAATTTGACAAATTTACCCTTCAAAAATGATCACGTGTCTTGCACATGATGGATTCCGGCCAAAAAATGATCGAAAACCTAGTTAGGGACTAAATTTGTCCGATGTGAATATGTAAGGGATATAAAATTAAACTTTTAAAAGTGAGGGATGAAAAAAATTATTTTACAAAATGTAAGGGACATTTTAGACGATTTTCCCTTTCTGTAATGTACTTGTCAATCTGGTCAAACGATCTAGAAGATAAATCAGCTGGCATGAGGAAATTTTCGGACTTAATTATGCTGCAATCGATTGCAAACAAATTGCTTCAACCTGAAATTAATTGGTGGTCCATCTTTTGTCAAAGTGCAAATATTAATGCAGGTAGAAGTTTTGGGATTGCCTTTAAGGGATTTTTAGTAACTACACAAAGAAACTGAACAATAAAGGAAATTGTCCCAAATTTTGTGGCCATTAACTTATGTTTTAATCTTTCAAATTCATATGTTGTAATCTTTTAAATTCTTAAACTTTGAGCTAAAGTTTTAAAACCATTACCATTAAGGGGCGCTTAACAACTTCATTAAACACTTAAATTTAATAGATTGAACAGTTGGTTTGATAACAAAATAGACTCCTAGAAGGAAGGATACGTGGAACTTGGTGCTTGAGTTAAAGTCTGCCTTTCTTTGTGTTCAGGACCTAGGTATGTCTGTACATGCAGTTGGTAGAGTTGCTTAGATGTATATAGCTGGGTTTATTGTAAGCCTGTTGCTCAAAACATATTGCCTGAACAATAAAGTTCAAAGTTTACATTAAAAAAAGTTCCCTAACTACTGAACTCATTATTAAGAGCCACTCAATTTCCTTACAAAATTTTAAGTGGGAGTTTGATCACTTAATTTGCTGACGTTTAAACTAGTGTAATAATGTTCATCCAAAGTCATAATTCCACGTACCCATATCCTTTCATACACACACACATGTAGTCTCTTGCTCTCTCTCACACGCACACTCATGTTCATATATATACACTAGTAGACTTCAGGCTGGGCTAAGCACACCCCATGCCCACTTAAAATTTCAAGAACAATTAAGTGGAAACCATTCTTTCGCATAAAATCAATAGGAGACAAAAGTAGAATATATGTCCACTTATGTATATTACTAAATACAAGAGTAAATCTTAATCCTATCACTAAATACTAATTAGTAATTGCTGATTAGCTAAACTAACAATAACTATACTTGGAGATAAAATTTTAATGGAAGATAATATATTGGGGTTTAGCTTAACAATTAAATTTGAAATTGTTATTTATTTCAATATTGTTTAAGAATTGAGATTATGTGTTAGAACTTAGGATTATCAACTCTTTTTTTTCATATCATGTTTGTTTGAGTAAGTTGATTGATTTTGTTGAAAAACATATGGGATATTATTTTGTTATAACAATTTTTTCAGAGAAAATTAAAATATTTTAACTCACTATTGATTCTCCGATCCAATTTATCAAACTAAAGTTTGGACGTAATCGGATATTGGTTTTAAAAAAATCAATTCCCAAATTACCAATTTTTTTTTATCAAATTTCCGATTATCAACCGACGAACACCCATAAACAAAAGGACAAAACTTATTTGATTTTGCACGAACAAAAGGGCAAAAAAAAAAAATGCAATGGCAAGATTAGCAATGTGCAAGAAATATTAGCAAGTCACTTGTCAAGATACTCCCTCCGTTCCTTATTAGATGGCCTGAATAACTAATTCTCTTAGATTAAGAAAGTTGGTTATTTTCTAAAAGTCAACAAAAGTTTAACTTTACTTCTCAAAATTACCCTTTATCTCTCTTCATCTCTTCAACTACTTTTATTGTTAATGCTACAAATACTGCATTTAATTATTTAGAGTTCCAATTCAAGAAAGTTGAAAGGGTAAGCAAGGGTAAATTTGGAAAAAAGTTCATAAATGCTTTCTTGATATCATAAAATGACAGATAAAAAGAAACAATGGATTAGGACATCTAATAAGGAACGGAGGGAGTATTAGAAAGCCACGTGACGAGTAAGGAGGTAAAATACTAAAGTTCACTTCTTTCTTATATAATAGGTAGATATACTCTTTTTGTCTCTCACGCGCACACATTTAGTGTCTGTTTGATAACATAAAAAAGTGCTGAAACTGAATTCATTCAGACATTCAGATGTTGTGAGTGTTTGATAAATAAAAATTCACCTGTTGAACTTATTAAGTGGTGCTGAATATGTATGTATTTTTTTCAGCACAAGAATCGTAGCTGAATGCTTAATTTGATAAGAGTCAAGAGATTTACTTCAACTACTTTATCTTATCTACCAAATATATCCATGTTTGTTAATTACATTCAAAATCCTTATTTAATTAAACAACCTAATATTCCCTATTCAAAATCCTTATCTAATTAAACAAAACAACCTGATATTCTCTATTCAAAAATTTTTTTTAACAATAATATTTTTTTGCAGTAATTTTCATCCACAAACATTTATATTTTGATATTTTTTTTGTGCAGATAAATATTATTTATGTGATGCAGCTTATCCATACACACGTGGCTTTATGACACCATATCGAAATATTAGATATTGGTTGTTTGATTTTTGAAATGCTTCTCGTCTAAGATCAAAAAAAGAACGCTTTAACCAAGTACATGCAAGATTGAGAAATGTAATTGAACGTTCTTTTGGAGTATTAAAAGCTCGTTTTTCCATTATCAAAACGATGAAACCATACCCTTTTCCCACACAAAGAAACATTGTCATTGTATGCATTGCTCTTCACAATCATTGTCATTTTCATACCTAACAATTTTAAGTTAATTAAATCATAGGTTCTATTTCCTTTTTGGATTAAAAGATAGAAGGGCAAAACTGTACAATTTAGCTTATTAAACATTAAGTTATGAATATTTATCAAACAGTATAAATAGATTCAGTATTAATATTCAGACATTCATATACTCCCTCCGTCCCACTTTGATAGTCTTGTTTTCCTTTTTCGTCTGTCCCAAATTGTAGTCCACTTTCCTATTAAGAAATGTAGTAATCTTTCAAATTGTTTAAAATACCCTTATTAAATATCTTGTTATTAATACATTGTTATTAAATACTAACCCACTACATTGAATACATTGAGCTTTTCCAATACTAACCCATTAGCTGTGACTGATATTAATTGGCACTCTTCGTGATTAGCATAAGGGTATTTTAGGAAATTATTAATCTAAATTTATGTTTCCAACCAAATTAATTACACTTTCTTAATCTGTGTGAAAAAAAAACCAAGACTAACAAAACGGGACGGAGGGAGTATCTCTTTTCAGTGCTTAAAATTCAGCAAATTAATTATTTCAGTATTCAGAATTCAGATTCAGCGTTATCAAACGGAGCCTTACTCTCATCTCTCTCACATACACATAGAGACACATTCTCTCTCTCTCTCTCTCTCTCATACACAATTACAACGCACACTAACATATGTTGTTTAGCATTCTTTATTTCAAATACTATCTACTTATTATACACAGAGACGCCTTTTTTTTTAATCTCAAATACACGTTTGCATATTAGAATTTCAATTTAACAATATTAATTAGTGATATTTAAAGGAGCTAGTCTAACATAATAGTAAAACAAGATATTGGTCTAAACTATATAATGTACATGTAATAATTTCTTTAAATTTAGTACCTAATTCAGCAGATTACCAAACATTTTGACTTAATAAATTCAGCAAATATTGATTTCAATACTTAAATTTCAGTTTTATTAAACACCCTTTTAATCTTTTCGGAAGAGCATTATGATGTTGTACTTCTTCCAGTAGAATGATTCAAATTCATCTCTTCTAACAATGCAAATTAGGGAAACATTTATATAAGTGCTAAAGAAACGGTAGAAGAGAATTTGCACTAAATAGTTTACAACCATTACTTAAATTTTGAGTAGTAATACTGACTAAAGGTCTGTTTGATAACTCTACTCAATGCTGAAAATGAATTCATTTAAAATTTTTAATTCAGCATTTTTTATAACAGAAATGTCTTACCACTGATTGTATTTAGCACTGCATAATTTGTATGCAAATTTTTAATGAAAAATTTCACTGAATTTTCTAAATTGATTACACATACTATGTTTCTCATATATGATATATATAGAACACACTTTCATACATGTCCTGGTACAAAGTACACATTTGACACACTCTCACACTCAAATTTGCATACTTAAACATCATCTCTAGTTTGTTTCATTATACTCTCTCTGTCTCTCTCTCACACACACTTCTTTTTCTCTCTAAATACAAAAATAAAGGTAATTCTTTAAAGATAAAAAAATATATAGTATTTTTGCAATATATCAATTCAGCATTATAATTCAGTTAATTATTAAACATATGTAACATAATCCATTCAGCAACTTAAGACTTCCAATACTTAATTTTTAGATTTCACACTTAAAGTCTTATCAAATGAGCCCCTTAGGATCAGGTCAACGCACATAGGTATGAGAAACACATTAAGAACCATATCAAATTCTCCATTTTTTACTCTCAAATGTTAGTCCCTTTACCCAGTTTATAAAAAATATGGAAGTTTTAAAACAAGCTAGATGAGTGTGTTTCATTCAACTTCACTGCAATACCAGCTTACAGTGTCCTGTCAAATTCTTATAAGAAAAAAAGCTAATTAATTAACCAAGTACTTACAGTTGATGTAATTAATTCTTTTTTTCCATATGAATGGCACCTTTCTGGAGAGAAATTAACGAAAGTAGTATTCTAATTTATCAACTTTTTTCATTGTTCTTGAATTGCTTCAGTGGAGATCACTTAAAATGGTGCCTGACCCAGATAGATAGCACCCAGGAGGAGAGTTGACTCAATACATAAATTTCATGTTTCATGTTACGGAATTTTAACTAGTTACTAATTATCATCACGAATAAATGTGTTATTAATGTCACCATTAGACTAAATCAACAATACTCAACATGTTCTGATCAGTTTCATTCAGAAGTTGAATTCATCCATGTGAATTTGTTTGTTTGGCTATGGACAGATATGGCTGTGTGAAAGTGAGGCATAAAAATATGAATATCATTGTTGCTGCATGTGTGTGCTTTAACTAAAAGACTTAAACATGTTTTGTTTCATTTCATATCAATTTATCAATGTGTTTCATCTAAGATTAATTAGTTGCAAAAATCTATTAGTTTTAATGGACAAAACAAAGAATGTATTCTAATCATCTTCTGTAGTGATGCCTTACAGAATCCCAGAGAGAGTAGTAAAAAATGACTTCCTCCTGCATAAGGGTAGGAAACATCTGCAGATCTGATTAGAGGACAGTGGCATCAGTGTACCAAGGCAAATTGCATACCTAATTCTTGATCCTTGTGTAATTAAAACATCACAACCAACTGATTAAGATAAAGAATTTTCCCAACGAACGAAAGTACTATCAAAATATATTTATTTAGAAAAAGATGCATCTCATTTTGTAGGAAAGGAATCAAAGTTCGATGATCCAGCCGTGTACAGGACCATGCAGTTGCAGTTGGCTTCAATTGATATAAGATTGATGAAAAGATTAAACTGCAGCTCCACCACGTTATAGCCACATTAGAAGAGAGTAGTATACTTCGCATCTGAAAAGATGAATATGGTCCCCTAACTTGATGACAGATCCATAAACCAGAACTGAGCTTATTTTAACAGATTCTGCAGCAGCTAAAAGGGCACCATCGATTTGTTTGCATGTGGGCTAGCATCATGACACCTTCACTCGTTTATAAGCAAAAAATACAACAAATTATTTTCCTAATGGTAAGAATATCTCATTAACAAGGACTACACGAGATCATGCCATTTCCTTTTTCTCCAGGCGGGGGGATATATTTTCTGCCTTGGTATATTACTTTGCTTTTTATGAAAGGGCTCTTTCACCAGACAAAGAAGATTATTAGAACCTAGCAAATAGTTTTTTGGAAAAGGTATCAGGAGCTGGTTCCTACTTATATCAAGCAAAAGATGGAACCCGTTTGTCCAGATTGTCTTTTCCAATTCACAACGTCTTTATACTCCAAACACAAAGTGTGAATGAAAATCTTTCAATTGCTCTTCAATGTCTCATGGGACAATGGAAATTCTACTCCCAATTGTACCTATTCCAAGGCATAGATATATGTATCAGCCTTGAGCATGAGATATGGATACAAACCTATTTCAGTGCGTGACCGCAAGTGAGCATACAATATGGAGATATATATCAAGGAAATTAAGGATGTATTCATGAATTATGACAAGAAACCTAGGAAACCAAAAAAAAGTTATTAATAGAAAAAGGACATTTAAACGAAATGTTTTTGATAGTTACAGTATTTGACAAACAGCTTCTCCATTAACATACAAGATTTAGGACGTGCTAGACAAAAGAAATGGCCAAACTCACATAAATTGGGCACTTCACTTTGGCTATAGTAGTATGGTCAACAAACAAAATAGTACTGGTACATTGTATTATTATCTATGCAGTCAAACCTCTCATCACTTCAGGATCATAAGAAACCTAATTGTCCATGCATATTCCAAGTTCTTTATCATCATACCATAATGCTAAGTGTATCATGATGAAATTACTATCTTTGCAAGCATGAGAAGAAAAAAGAACAACCAAGTTTCAATTTTTCCCTCAAAGCCGAAATCTGAATAGTGGAATGGCCTGAGAGAGGATAGCAAGTTGGTGAGATAATCAACCCTCCAAAGTATGCGTTGCTGGCAATCTTATCCAAAATAAATTTCTGATTTATCTGAGCATGCTTCAATTGGAAAGAGAAGCCGCCAGAGGTACCAACAAAATTGCGGCATCGATATTGCAACACCTAATTAAGTAGGGGTTGGAGCCATGTCTGGTCAGATAAACCAAATTTCCAAGAAACCGAAAGTAGCTAAGTCTCTAAGAAACAACTTGTAACCCGAGCTTTATGGCTTGATGAGTACTATATTATTTGCAAATCTTTATAACATGAAATAGTACTAAAAACCATGAAAATACTAGTTTGTGTCACAATTAATCTATTTCAAGCCACAATGGAGTACCCAATAAGGTAATATGTGCAAGTGCTACCTTATGCTAGCTAGCAAAAAGATTAGTGATGAAATGAAGTATTGGAGAAAGGTTGAAACTCGAAAGACATAAGATCAATACTTAACAGGCTTGATTACATCAGAGAGACAGAGAGAGAGAGAGAACAAAAAATGGAAAATGGTCAGCTCAGGTTAGACAAAATGAATTTGACAAACGTGGAAACTACGTGTAGGAACCAACTTCAATCAAATGAAAATGACCGAATAACTTGGATTAGGACAAAATGATGCTAGTGTACTGTTAATTAATTCCGTTGGCTAATCGGGGTGCTAGTACTATCGCTTAATTGTACCACAAGATAGTACAAAAACAAGAAAAAGGGAAGAAATCATTTTCCAAATGCATTCATCATCCCACTACCAAGTACCATCAGATCAAAATGCAACCCCACAATTAAAGGTACGTACCGAGTCAATTTTATCTGCGGAAAGGGCTATCGCCTTGGCGTTTAGCGTTTGTGCTTTATCCTTTTTGGGTCCATGATGAATGCACCACTGCACCAGTAGTGAACAGACACAAGAAACATTAGTCTTTTTCCCCGATTTGGAGTCAAGTACCAAAGAAAGATTGATAACTACAAGATTTAATTGCACAATAATAGCAATAAACTGACTCCTGACTCCTGAATACATATCTCGGACATCCCTATCCTATTGACCTAAAAATTAGTACTGTCATTGGAACAAATTAGCAGCATATGAGGTGAAAATTGTACTTTACTCCAATTTAGTCAACCGCAACGGATTCAACTTACATGAAAGTACTCATCGAATTTAGCAAAGGGCTCACCTTTCTGTTGTACTATATTCAACCGACCTCACCTACTGGAGAAGCTAAAAGTCGTTCTGCAGCCGACGTCCGGGAGGGATCACATATCCTCATCTGATGGAAAACCCTTTTATCTTTCCAGCACAAAAAGCATCTTATCTTCGTCGCCGCTCTCTACCACTGACTCCCGAGCCGAACAAAGTCAACTTTCCTGGATGGATGTGTTCATTAAGGAGAAAGAAAAACTCCATGAACATCAATTCCAGCAGCAGATAACGAATCAAAAGGAATCGAATACATGCAAAAAGGAGAGAGAGAAGAGGTGCGGGGTGACAGATAGAGAGTGAGCACGCATAGCTTCAAGCACGGGGACACAATTAATCATGCAAGAAAACCAACCATGTGTGCTCACTCTCTTCTGTCACCACCCCCTTACCCAATGAAACTCAAAACCCTTGTAGATTTACTCCAGAAGACTACCCTCTGCAACCATCCCAGATGGAAATCAAGAAATTTTAACCAAACCCTTTGTGAGATTTAGCCCAGAAAACTCAGTCTGGAAATTTCCCAGATGGAAACAGGCTGGTTATGAGTGAGCCAGTGAAGGGGAGAGTGTTTTATTTTTTACTCCTACTTCTTCCTTCTCTCTGGAAGGTTGGAAACCCTAATTCTGGGTAGGAATAAATGCCCCCGGAGGGAGGAAGAGGAGAGGAGTAGACAGTACTAGCAAATATTGGGCAGTGGAGAGTACTGTTCCATTAGAAAAGGAGGAGGGCTTTTGATTTGATGTGCGAGGATCTGAAGGGAAGGCTGTGGTTTATATAGGATGGGAAGGGAGCTAGATTCCGTTACGTATGGAATAAATGTAGGTTTATCTTTTATGGGCCTCTCCTAATTTTATATTTCCAGCTTCCCAGAGATCTTGGTGAGAGAGATGGATTAATACTGGTGAGAGAGGAGGAAAGAGAGAAAGAGGAGAAGACACGCTAGCTAGTCAAAACATCAGTAGTGCTATTCTGTTCTGTTCTGTCCTGTTTTCTTGTGTTACGTTATCTTTAAGGGTTAGATGGATACAAATCCAAGAGCAGTCCAACCAGATTTCATTAATTCGACCATAACTACTAATACTACAGCACTACTGCTCCTGCTCAAGTGCTCATACCAAGGCATCTAGTAATTCTAAATCCCCACCATCCAATCTCATCTTTTTACAGTTTTACTTCCATTATATATTTGTGGTATCATTCATCTTCCCAAAATCAAAAGCATTTTTGTCTACACCTGTGCTTATCGAACTTCCCTTGAGGAAAGTTTTGCAGTTTTTTAAGAAAAGGCAAGGATGACGAGATTTTCCTAATTAAGTGTAATTTAGTATTCTGATTTCATGACCAAGAGATAGAGTGATAGACTGCCCCACTCATTCACATTCACTGTGATCTATGAAATCTGATTCCCACCGTGAACATGGTTGTAAAGGCAACCATTGATTACTGCAAAAGCATGAAATTTGGATCATAGTAATTCTTATCATATGGCTTTTCTTTTCTTTTCTTCTCCCTTTTTGATTGCTAGAAGAAATGGGCAACCAGCTTTAGCTACCTTCATTAATTGTGAATGTTTCCCTTTCGTTGTGGGGTGTACAACGTACTCTTGATTGGGGGTATAAGATCGATGTTGACGACTTTGAAACTAACTGGTGATAAGGTGGTTCTAGGCTAAAGGATTATAATACTCTTCCAAATGAACAAAATCCTACAATTACTTGCAGCTCTGATCACTAATACAACTAAATATTGCTTGCTAAACATTCTAAATCTCAACAACTCTAAAAAGATGAAGCTAAATGGATATCCTCAAAATTAGCTTAGTTTCTATGAAATTTTTGTATGGTTTAATTCCAAGTTTAAATTTGTTACTGTATGGTTCATATATATGCTGTATTTTGATTCTGAACTCCATATTTTATTTAGACACAAGGGTAGTTTTTTTCTTAAATAATCTTAAAAACATCCTTTTGTTGTAAAATATTTTGTTATGCTTCTGAATCTTCTTTTGAGTACGTACGTTAGTGAACTAGCAATGTTCTGTCTATTTAATTGAAATTACACACTGTAGGATTGAAAAGACAATTTAGACCTTAGAAGACTGTGGATTGGCCTATATTCAAACATGAAAAGGAAAATCAAACAGATCATAATTTGTACATGGTCCTACCATATGCTAAATAGGATCGAGTGAAGATGTTTTTTTTCTTTTTTAAAAATAATGAATATTTTAATCACTACTCCACCAACCCTACTTATCACAATTTTGCTAGCTCTAATCCAATGCACCAGTTCAATAAAATTATATTGCATACCCTAATCCTATTCAATCAATTAATATATAGGTGATCAATTAACCTGTGAAACAGAATCGAATACATAGGAAAACCTAACCCTTTTCTATTGAAAAGAAAAAAAGTGAATCAGATTAACAAAGAAAATAATAAAAAAAAAATATGCCCAAATCAAATAAGAGTATCCAATCATAAACTCTAGAAATCCACCAATAGAATACATAATTAAAACATTACAAATCAAAACACATTATATATATAAAAAAAAACACTTATTATTCCAAACGTCTATTTTTGTCTTCTTCACTTCTTAAAAGCTATCATCAGCTCATTGTTCAATAGTGATAATGGGGTCCTCCACAGCCAAATATGAAAGTTTTAAAATTTTGAAAAACAAAAATTAGTAGATTATGTTGAGGAAGAACATTAAGAAAACAAGTGAAGAAAAACATAGATTTTATGAGCAAGGAAAAATAAATTTGGGGCAAAGAGAGCGATATAGGAATGGAATATATGAGGTCAACGTAGTGATTGAGAAAAGGTGCAGAGGAGTTAGGATTATCCGATTAAGTGTATAAGTCGTAAATAAAAATATGTATGTTTAATAGGTTTTCTAATCTAATTTACTATAAAATGCTAAATAATTATGAATTAAATCATGACTACTTATTACTTTAAGCAATCCTACACATATATAGGTTCGGGTAATTATAATTTTTAAAAATAAAAAATCATACCCTAGCCTTTTTTTTTTTTAGAATGTTCGAGTAATTTTGCCATTTACAAAATTTTTCTATTGGTCAAATTTTACCAGCTAGGTTTTTTTTTTTTTTTTTGCAGTTATCCTTTTTTTTGTGGTTCTTTTGTTTTTCTTCTAACACTACTACTAGTTGCATATCTGATTAGGCTTGGTTTTGATAAAGGGAAAAAAAAAATTGAAGATGAATCAAATAGTGACGTTTGACAGACTTTGTATAAGAGAAATCAGAGCCAAAAAAAAAATTCATGGATTTGAATCCCATAATATGCCACATACTTCTCTTCCAAACAAACGAGAAGAAATAAAAAAAAACAATTATATTGTAGATTTACTCGTTTATATTCAATTCTTATTGATCGAAAAAAGGTGGAACACTGATGACTAAATGTGGAACTCACTACTTAGCAAGCCTTTTCGACCAATACAAATGCTCCAAATAAAATTATAGAATTCACTAATTTCACATAATCATATATTTATTTATTTGTATATGTGTGTGTGTGTGTTTGTGTGTGTCTATATATATATATGGTGAATAGAGTATGTGGTCATACGATGTTCCAAAACTTAAGTGGTGCCATCACCTAGGTCAAGTGGTGGGAACAATTGACAACATACTCTCATAATATGATTGTGTAAGTGTATTGTAAGTCGAAAGGTTACAAAACTTTGATGATGGAATAAAAATTATGTGGAAAAAATGAAGTGCAAGAAGATGAGGTAAATGAAAATAAAAATGACTTTCCTATAATTAGTAATATTTTTTTTAATTTAATTTTTCTGCCAACTAGACATGCACAAAAGAAAAAATAACTAACTTATCTTTACTTTTCTATAGTTTATCTTTGCAACCAAACATTACCTTAGTATCTATTTGAATAGAGGAAAAGTCATCTGAGAAAGTGAAATTTGGGAAAGCGTGGTAAAGGAAAATAAAATATCTTTTGGAAAAACGTTTGTTTACCAAAAACATTGAGAGAAAATTAGAAGTTAATGATACTTAGTTGTAGTTCTTAAAATTTTTGCTTCTAAATAACCATTTTTTCTCAAAATTCTACAAAATTTTTACAAGACACAAAGTGCAGGAAAATTTTCTTATTTTCTTGCTAAGCAAACACACACACACACACACACACACACACAAATAATAATAACTAGTGCTAAATGCACACTCAATGTGTGTGTAATAAAAAAATACATATCACGTATGGTTATATATTTTATATAAAATTTTTATTTGCCTCATCTTTTAAATCTTTTTCATAAAATAAATTTGTGTTGGTAATTATAATGATTAGGAATAATTATGTTGAAAACATATGTTTTAATAGTTTTAACTTAAAATTAGTTATAGATAGTTATCTTGATAACATATGTATAAATAAAAGTAGTTTTATAAGGACAAAAATGGATGTTCATATAGTGACTTTTAATGCTCACCTCAAACCCCTTCCTCCTCTGTAGAGGTGTCAAAATTGATGACTTTGGGCGGGTTTGGGTTGGGTAAAATAGGTAATGGGTATAAATGAGTCAACCCATTTATATCCATTTAATTAGATGAGTATAAATGGGTAAGTCAAAAAATGAATTGGGTAACCCAATTACCCATTTATAACCCATTTATTTTAACTTTTGTAAACTCATTTAAATTCATTTTTGCAAACTAAGTTATCAATTTATACCGCTTTTTGCATCCATCATTAGTTTTAAATATGTAGTTATAATGTTCAATAAGCCTAATTATCAATTTTTTTCCTATCCGTACTTTATGTCGCAAAATTACATGCTATTTAATAATTAAATAATAAGAATATAAAAATTTGAACTAAGCACTATAAAAGTTAACATAAAAACTTAATCCAAAAATTTTGAACCCCTAACATTTTTTTCATGTATAAATTAAAATTTTGATTTTGGAAAGATAGGAAAAGAGGTTAAAACTTATCATAAATTAGTAATGCTGAAAAATGAGCAAGTTAACAAACTAAGAGAAAATAAAATGATTAGATAAAACCAACAAATAATAATAATAATGAAACAAAAGTAGTTAACATCATGACAAAATGAAAATTTTGAAAAAAAAAAATGGGTGAGGGAAGAGAGGAGACTTGGAGAAAGACAATTTTAAATGGGTTAATTGAGTTTGATGGGTTACCCATTTATACCCATATACAAAATTTTAAAATACCCATACCCATTTATATAAATATGATATGAGGCCTATAAATTTTGAGTTAAAAAAATTAACTTTGGAGCAAATTTCTATTTTGCTTCAGTATATCTAGATTACTCTTTCGTTTAATTAAGATTGGGTTTGTCTAACGCTAAGATATATTTCAGGTGTCATATTTTTAGAAATGCAAAATTAATTATGAAAAGTAAATAAATATAATGGATGGTAAGTAAGATTAAATAGGAAAAGTATATAAATGTAAGGGATGGTAATAATTATTAATATATGTATATACATGCTAAATTAAGTAAATTTTAAATGTGTTAACGAGTACCTATTGAGCAAGAAAAAGTCATTACGATTTTGTAGATATGAATTAATAGGGCAGCATATTGCTCCAACTTTTCTTGAGCCTGCTCTCATGCTTGACTCTTTGGGAATTATTCAATAAAAACTCAAGACTTCCATCACTAAAAAAAATAAAAATAAAAACATCTCGTCATCATTTATGTCATGTTTTAACCTGGATAACTTCCATTTTCATTTCTGGAAGGCGTCTACTCATGTGGTGTTTCTCGTTCATGTGATTAAATTTACACCATTAGTGATTAGTAACTTGATTAGTCTGTAATAATTGGAAAGTTTTGAGTGGAAAATTTTTCCAGGACAAACTTTGGAAAGTAAACTTGAGTAGTCCCAAAATACTGTTATCCTTTTCTTTCTTTTTTTTTTTTCTATGGGGGTAAAGCAAGAAGAATTTTTATTCGTTTAAGTCACTAGCATTAAGCACAGTGGGAGGGAAA